GTATACGTTGCTTAAAAAAGTTACCTGGTTTGAAGGTGTACACTACATAGTGTATTTGTTTTTTTTATTGGTGAAGGCGTTGAAAGCCAACTTTGTTTTTTTAAGTGGTATACTATACTTTTTATACAAAAATATGGAAGAATATCAAATTCTGAGTGGAAAAGTGTTGATTTGTATTAGCCCTAAACCTAATACCTAATGACTAATTTCACTTTATTTCTTGACAATTTCCACTGTTCTGCAGAAATCATAAAGTTGAGTCTCCATTTTGATATTACGTGAAGAAAATTGTCGAGAAATAAAGTGAAATTACTCCTGTATTATTAGGTTTAGGGCTAACATAGATTAACACTATTTTAGTATAAAAAATATAGTATTCTATTTAAAGAAACAAAGTTGACCTTCAAATCTCCGAAACCTATAAAAAAAACAAGTGCACTATACAGGGTGTTCGGCCACCCCTGGGAAAAACTTTAATGGGGGATTCTAGAGGCCAAAATAAGACAAAAATCAAGAATATCAATTTGTTGATGGAGGCATCGTTAAAAAGTTATTAACGTTTAAAGTTTCGCTCGTACTGAATTTTTTTTTCAAAAATGCACAGGATTCGGGAGTGTGTCTATTCACCAAAAATGATTGTAATTTACCCTCGCAACAGAAAATAATTTTTCCAGAACGATTTGAAATTTTTTTTTCCGTTAAAAAATTTCACACCTTTTTGAATTTTTTTTCTAGAAAGTGGGTAGGATTTCGGGGGTATGGCTATTCACCAAAAATGCTTGTAATTGACCCCTGTAACTAAATATAATTTTTTTAGTATGATATGAAATTTTTTAATTTCGTCTGAAAATTTTAGCACCTACTTGAATTTTTTTCTCGAAAGTGGGTAGGATTTCGAAGGTATATGTATTCACCAAAAATAATTCTAATTGAGCCCCGCAACCAAAAATAATTTTTCCAGAATGATTTGAAATTTTTTATATTAATTTTTTAATAACATTTTAATGAAGTCTCAGACAAGAAATTGATATTCTTGAAGCTCCCATTAAAATTTTTCCCAGGGATCGCCGAACACCCTGTATATTGAAAACATTTAAAGGAGACAAAACAACTATAAATAAACCACGCTAAAGAAAACCTAAACTGCTGAGAAATCGTAACGAAACACCCATACTGATAGCTGTCAAGAAGGATCCTCGTACCCCCAACACCTGAAATACGTGGAAAGGTACATACTGTCTCCGTGTTAGGAAAAATAGTAAGCCTTTAAACAGTAGAGTTAGCCATGAGAAACCGTTAAATTTAATTAACGCAGTAAATCGGAAGAAGAGATTAGAGTGCGCGGGAAAGTTCGTTTCTAGTTTTGACGCATCTAACAAAAAAATTTGGATGGAAGCAAATGCAGGAAGAAAATTTGATATCAACTGTGAATATCTTTATGCAAATTCATATTTTTATTAATAGAATTAATGAAATGGCAGCTTTCTGGAGGTTGTCTCAATAATTCATATTTTACTTTAAGTATTTTTTATATTTTTGAATGTTAAGTGCATTCTGTAATGTTTTGAGACTTAAAATTTTCCATAAATGCATAAACATCTGCAGTCTAGTAATTACAGTTGGTGTCGTGGATTAGTGAACGTATACAGGATGTTCCGCCATTTTTCCGTGTTCTACAAGCAAAACTAAGACTAAAATGTTATATAACAAAAAATCCATAAATGCTTTGTTAAGAAGTTATAACAAAAATATGAATTATGGACTGACGAGGCTTTACACGTGAAGGCATATTTAATTTACGCGTTAATCACGTATGGGTAACTGAGAATACATATGCTGTCAGAGAAAGATCATTTCAGCATTAATTCAAATGCAATGTTTGGTTGAGCATGTGTGATGAATTCTTAATAGTACCTTATTTCCTTCCTGAACGGTTGACAGGAGAATCTTTTCTAACGTTTTTAACAAATGATCTTCCACCATTGTTAGAAGATGTATCTTTATCATTCCGTCAAAACGACTGGATACAATTACGGAACGAATGAGGTCAATTATGTGCAATCCAATGTTGTTTTGGATAATAATGAAATATATATTTAATATATAGGTAACATAATTTTCTGCTATACACAACTCTCACAAGACAATGGAACCGACGCGTAGATCCCCTCGCGTGCCAGTGCTGTCAACATTAAGCCTACTTCACATTACATTCACTCACCAGACATATGTACAACGTCCAAAGAAAAAAATACAAGATAACATCACGTATAGGTTGATGTCACAGAAACATATAGAAAATACCCTGAAATATGTTGAAAAATATCAGGTTCCCTTGCATAGGAACTGATTAAATAAATGTATATAGACAATATTTATTTATTAAACACAACCACTTTAATTATTCTTTAGATATTACATAGTTTACTATAAAAGAAATTACAGTATGCGATGCCGACCATGCGGCTCGAACAAACGACTCGACTCAACTCGAATCGAACAAAAACCACGGAAATCCCCGCACAATATTCAATCTTATTATAGGTGGCGCCATTTGTCCGCGTGCTTATTGTCGCGAGATTATGAACAGCTCAACAAAATTGAATTCGTTCTTTATTTTTATGTTAAAAAAGTGCTTCTCAACTAAACAGAAAATCGATCACTGGCCACCGCTTCTTTTAAACAGCCATTAATTTTATGAGTTGAGGCACGAGGTTTTGCAGATATATTTCGAAAAATTATATTCTTTAAGAAAATGCACAAAGAATGAAATTTTTTCAGAGGTTCACAATTGCCATATCGACAATTGTTACAGACAGTATCATAATAAGAGGGATGATATTTTGCGAAAGAGCTGTTTTCACTTAATGATTTACTGGATTAAATATACTTAAGGGACCTTTCTACTTTGTAGGATTTAAAAAATCGAATTTTTTTTGCGTTTTCTTTTAGTATGTAGTCTCGAAAATATATCTACCAAATATTAAATTGAAATTCGGAAAACTAACGAAATTATAGCCTGCTGAAATGTACCATGCGCAGGTATAACAACTGGACGTGAAACTTCAAAGCTCTTTTTCTCAAAATTACATTTCTCGGCACTGCGTAGACGATAACATGAAAACTGTTCAAGATATCAACATCAAATTTATACAGTATCTTTAGAACTAGTCTCCTTATAGTCTCCCTATAGCATAAACTAGGACAATTGCGATATATGCAATACTTTTTCTTTTGTTAACAAAAAAGCAACCGAATATATGAAATTATTCAGTATTTTTTCGTAAAATAGCTGCCATTTTGCCATTTTTCGTTTTTTTGAAAAGATCCTAGTTCATGCTATTCGATGTACAAATGAATAATTCAAATTATCTTAAGCTATTATAAAATCAAGTTTAAAGTTAATAGATTTTCCCGCTCTTTTGCGGTCATATAGTGTTGACATATAGCTAGTTAAAACAAAAGATAGTTTAGCGAAAGACCCAATATAACCTTCAAAAGTATTCAATTCAGTAGAGTCGAAAATGGCAACAGATAAGGTGCATCTCCGACACTGCATTCTTTACGAATTCCAACAAGGGAAAAATGCTGCAAGAGCATGCGAATCGATTTGTTCCTTTCTCGGTGAAAGTGTTGTATCGTATGATGTGTGCGCATTTTGGTTTAAGCGGTTTAAAAGCGGTGATTTGAGTCTAATCGACAAACAACGCCTTGGAGGCTTTCAGAAGTGCGACAACGATGATTTGGAACAACTGCTCGCTGAGAATGCGGCACAAATGCAAAAAGAACTTGCAGAACAGTTAGGAGTAACCCAGCAAACGATTTCCAAACGCCTACGTGAGATGGGAAAGATCCAGAAAGAAGGAAAATGGGTTCCGCATGAACTCACTGCAACCAACAAAAATCAACGATTCTCAATAAGCAGCGTCGAAAGTCTTTCTTGTGGAAAATCGTTACGGGCGATGAGAGGTAGATACTCTATGACAATCCGAAACGCAGAAAGTCATGGGTAAATCCCGGCAAAGCATCAACATCGGTTGCAAAACCCAATCGCTTCGGAAAGAAGGTTCTTCTCTGCATTTGGTGGGATATCAAGGGCGTGGTTTATTATGAGTTGTTGAAACCGGGTGAAACAGTTACTGCGGACTGCTACCAACGTCAATTAATCGGCTTGAGTCAAGCATTGGAACGAAAACGTCCGTATACTGGTAAAGGAGAACGTCCAGTGAAATTGTTGTATGACAACGCCTGACCACATATTGCTTCCCATATAAAAGACACCATAATGAGTTTTGGCTGGGACGTCTTACAGCAACCGGCGTATTCACCAGACATTGCTCCATCTGACTATCACCTGTTCCGGTCGATGCAACACACCTTGTCCGATATGCACTTCCAATCAGTGGATGAGATCCGAAAATGTCTTGACGACTTTATTAAGTTTAAAAACGTAAAATTTTTCCGAGATGGAATTCATCAGCTGTCTGAAAAATGGCTTAAAGTCATAGAAAGTAACGGCGAATACTTCGATTGAACAATTCAATTAACTTTCTTTTAAAATAAACATTAAATGTGGCTGAAAAAATCGGATTATTCATTTGTACACCTAATATAACCAAACTTATCTGTATTAAGAATATCTTTGGTTTTTGGATTTCGGATAACTTGTTCGCGAGATATCACATACACAGTCGGGCGCCGTTCGTAAAAACTGTTGTTCGTTGATCAACAAAAACAACGTAATCAATAGATGTTATGCTTTGCAAAAATTCGTAAATATAATTAAATATATAATAAATGTATCCACAAAACTCGGAATTAATCGCTCTTTAATAGTCCGCAAAAAAAAATCACAAAGAAACATGTATTTTTCGTGCCTACAAAGTAGAATGGCCCCTTAATTATAATATATTTTTTTCATAGAATATTACCTTAATCTTTTGTTCATTACTGTACCTTCAGAGGCAGAAGGGCAGCGTGGAAGTCGGGGAACAAGGATCATGCAGTCTGCGGCGGCTACTCCCGGTTCTCCATCGCGTTCATCCTGTTGCGAAAGGGAACGGGAAAGGGAGGTTCGCGAGGACCGTGAACTGGAACGCGTCAGGCAAAGTCGGGCGACTCCTGAAGGCGATCGCGAGGAACAGAACGACGAGAGGTCCGCTGTATCCGGGCAAAGTCTTGGTACTATGACGATTAGCGGTAACCAGGGATTACCTCTGTCTCTGTCTTTAGAGGACAGAGATCTCTGGACCAAGTTTCAGTGCCTCACCAACGAAATGATCGTCACGAAGAACGGAAGGTGAGTGCACTGCCAAAAATCATGCTACGAATATCAATTCACGGGGTAAAATTGCACGAACGATTCATCAGTAAACACTGGGGTGGACCTTAATAGGTTCATAATTCTTCGTTTCTATATAAATAACTATGTAATTACTGTATGTAAATGTAATTAACATGATAAAGTAAATTATGAAACGACAGTTTTTTCTGATTCTATGAAAAAAGTGTACTGATAAACTTGTAGTTCGTGCCAAGGCGAATTCAATGATCTGCTATATCATGACCTCCGGATGACCTTCAACTGATTATTCATTTCACATTACAGTCTATAAATATCTTTGAGTATGCGCTTGCATAAATAAATAATTAATGCGTTCAAATGATTAGAATATTAAGAAACAAATTTTAAATCGCGTAAAAGAGGAATCAAAAATATGTTTTTATACAGGGTGTTCGGCCACCCCTGGGAAAAATTTTAATGGGAGATTCTAGAGGCCAAAATAAGACGAAAATCAAGAATACTAATTTGTTGACTGAGGCTTCGTTAAAAAGTTATTAAAAAATTTCAAATCATTCTGAAAAAATTATTTTTGGTTGCGGAGATCAATTACAATCATTTTTGGTGAGTACACATATCCCCGGAATCGTATCCATTTTCGAGAAAAAAATTCGGGTAGGTGTTTTCATGCGAATCTTTAAAATGTCATAACTCATGAACAGATTGGAGGATTTTAATGTTTTGATCGGCAAACAACTCGTATTTTAGTGGAGAATATGTTGATATTCCAAGAATATTCGAAAAGTTGTTCTTGACCTCGTAAAGTGCGAAAACCCCCATAAAAATGGTTCAATTTTCAAACGTTCATAACTTTTAGAATAGTGAATATATTTCAATGAAATTTTTTTCTGAAGTAGAGCTTATAGATACCTACAAAAAAGTATTAGACAAAATTTCCGTACAGTGTCAAACAAATTTATTAAAAATTAAAAACGAATTTTTAAGAAAAATCGACAAGGGTTGCCTAAATTTTTCGGCGAAATTGAAAAATTTCAAATCGTTCTGGAAAAATTATTTTCGGTTGCGGGAGTCAATTACAATCATTTTTGGTGAATAGACCTACCCCCGAAATCCTACCCACTTTCTAGAAAAAAATTCGGTACGGGCGGAACTTTAAATGTTAATAACTTTTTAACAAAGTCTCCATCAACAAATTAGTATTCTTGATTTTCGTCTTATTTTGGCCTGTAGAATCTCCTATTAAAATTTTCCCCAAGGATGGCCGAACACCCTGTATAGCCTTGGCCACCCACGAACAATGATCATTAGTTCTACGAGCCCTTTATAGTCGTCTCTATAGATAAATGTTATAATTAAATAATAACAATTTCTTCAAGCGACATTTTAAAATAAAGTTACAAATAGGATTAAAATAAATTACTGAAATTCCCAAACTTTAAGTCATTTGTGGCTCATTTTCCCATCGTCCTATTGACGTCCCCTTTTGCAGGAATTATTTTGTTATCAAATTGAATAAATCTAGAGGGTTGCACATAAAAATTTCAATAATCAAAAATAAGGTCCACCCTAATGAACAGAGAAGAACACGTATTAGCCCTTTGAAATACAAATAAAACGAAATTCAAGGCGTCCCAAAAATACTATTTAATTTGAAATTTTAGGTTCAACCGAACGACTAGGTGAAGACAGAGTTGGGCAAATTTTATTCGCGAATAACGAATACAAATTTTAGATTCGTTCGTAAACTAACTCTTATAGGCTGCTTCTTTTGCGTGAACATCGATATAAAAAATCCTTCGATAAGCCAAAAGGGGTTCGTGGAAAGAAATGGTTAAGGGGTAAGACCACTGTAAAAACTTGAAATAAACCTTTTTTTTGCAATTTTTTTTTGATGGATGGAAAAGTAAAAGGATAATAATATTCAAGAATGTCATGAACCATGTCATTAAATGTTACAAAAAAAAATATTTATTAAAAAATAGTGCAAAATGACGACGCTGGAGCCATTCTCGCCAGGCGTGTTTTGAATTCGAGTGTGTGACTGACGCAAATTTGTATCTGGAAAAAAATAAAAAATCTTCTCTTAATCTATGAGTATAGCTAGAGAAATACGTAGGGGATTTTTGAAATATTAATTTTTGTGTGATTGGAGAGCATTTGAAGTAGAAAGTTCAATTTTGTACAAAAAATGGTGCAATCATTCGTCAATAAATAATGTTAAAATTAACTTATCGAAGATCCCCTACGTATTTCTCTAGCTATACTCGCGTAAATTAAGAGAAAATTTTTTGTTGCGTCAGTTATACTGCATGCCGCAGAGCGCCTCAGATTCAAAACGCCTCGCGAGAATGGCTCCAGTGTCGTCATTTTGCACTATTTTTGAATAAATATTTTTTTTCAACACTTAACGACATGATTAATAACATTCTTGAATATTATTATCCTCTTATTTTTCCACCCAGTCGAAAAAAAAACGCTTTATTTCAGGTTTTTACAGTGGTCTTACCCCTTAAGAATCACTGAACTAGAGCCTCGAATAATTGTCAACCTATCTCTGGAAACAGACATGATTTATTAAGTGTCAATGATATGCTGATTTCCGTAAATAATTCACGCGTTTAAAATAGTACATCACGAGTTTCATATTTAAGAACGCCGGAGGATCTATCCGTTTGTCGGAAGGTCCAAAGCAAAGATGGCTCTTCGTCGAGCGTAAAAATGTATTAATTAGAGCGTCTGTGCGAACAAGGCAGAAGGTAAAAATAATAGTCGGTATATGCTGCGCAAGGGAAAAATTTATGGAGAGTGGAAAGAGATCATTACGAAACGTTACGAAAATTTAGATGATTCACACGGACGAATGGACGCAACGGAACAACCTTAGTACAAATCTTGCTTTTTTAATTTTTTATATGAATTTAAATTACTATATTTATATGAATTATTATATTTATATGAATTTAAATAGAATATAGACGGTAGTAAATAGCTTTCTTCCTTACTTATCTTTGTGGATGGAATGAGGTAAATTATGTGTAATCCAATGTTGTTTTGGATAATAATGAAATATATATCTAATATACATATACGAGGGTCGTAGAAAATCCAATAGCTGGTGCTCGTAGCATCGAAAACTTTTGTTTTTAGTAAGCATCATGACTCACTAGACAGCTGTCAAATTCTCAGTTATATCCACCATACGATTTCCTTTTTATTGTCCATTGAAGCAAGAAACTTATGCATATTTAGAAAAATTGAAAAAAGTGAGTTTCGAGCGGTGATTAAACACTTGTATTTAAAAGGCTTAACACCGAAAGGGATCAAAGCTGAGTTGGATGAAGTTTATGGCACATCTGCTCCTGTGTTTGCAAATATTTTTACCAATACGAGACGATGAATGTATTTCGCATCACTGCTATCATCCGATACATCAAATGCTCTTCGAATGTGATTTTTACTCGATGCAGGCAAGTATACCGGGAATTCGATGTTCAACGTTATGATGAGATTTCCTTTTTCTTTTGGAGTTTCTGGTAACGGCAGTCCTTCGCCAAGTATGCACTTCCGATAATCAGGTCTGTCGTATATACAATAAAAAGATATTACCAATTACTATTACATCAATTGAGCTAGGTTGTGAAGCAGTCTTAAACGTTGCACTCTGTCCTTTCACTCTGCTTGGTATACTCCCTTTATGTACGGGGGTCGTTCAATGAGTCCTTAGAAAATCCAAGTGCTGGTGCTCGTAGCATCGAAAACTTTTGTTTTTAGTCAGCATCATGACTCACTAGACAGCTGTCAAATTCTCAGTTATATCCACCACACGATTTCCTTTTTATTGTCCATTGAAGCAAGAAACTTTTGCATATTTAGAAAAATGGAAGAAAGTGAGTTTCGAGCGGTGATTAAACACTTGTATTTAAAAGGCTTAACACCGAAAGAGATCAAAGCTGAGTTGGATGAAGTTTATGGCACATCTGCTCCTGTGTTTGCAAATATTTACAATTGGGTAAATGAGTTTAAACGTGGCCCGTACATCTACAAATGATGAACGTCGTTCGGGACGTCCAGTGGAAGTGACTACTCCCGAAATGATTGACAAAATCCACGATATGGTTTTGAGTGATCGACGAATCAAAGTGTGCGAAATAGTTGAGGCCACAGGCATATCGCAAGGAACAGTGTTTTCAATTTTGCACGAAAAATTGGGTATGAAAAAAATCTCGGCAAGATGGGTGCCGCGTTTGCTTTCAGTGGAGAATAAACCCAATCGTGTGATCGACTTTAAGGTTGTTTTGACGCTTTTTCGTCACAATCCTAACGAGTTTCTGCGTCGATAAATAACTGTGGATGAAACGTGGATACACCACTACACTCCAGAGACAAAGGAACAGACAAAACAGTGGGTTTTTGAAGGCGAACGTGTTATGAAGAGGGCGAAGACGGTGAAATCGGTCGGCAAGGTGATGGCCACAGTTTTTTGGGATGCACGCGGAATCATCGACACCGATTACTTGGAAAAAAGGAAAAACTATAACTGGAGAGTATTATGCGTCTTTATTGCACCGGTTGAGCGAAGAAATCAAGAAAAGACGTCCTCATTTGAAAAAGATCCTCTTCCATTAAGAGAATGCACGAGTGCACACCTGTGCAGTTTCGATGGCCGAAATCATGGAATTAAAGTTCGAATTATTACAACATCCACCGTATTCACCGAATTTGGCCCCCAGTGACTTCTTTTTATTTCCAAATTTTAAAAAATGGCTCGGCGGACAACTGTTCATGTCGAACGAGGAGGTCACCGCCCAAACAGATGCCTATTTTGAGGACCTTTCGAAATCTTACTTTTTAGATGCCTTAAAAAAGTTGGAGAAACGTTTGGAAAAGTGTATAAAACTAAAAGGAGATTATGTTGAAAAATAAAAAAAAATCTGCCTAAAATAATTTGTTTTTTTATCTTTTTCTAAGGACTTATTGAACGACCCTCGTGGGTAACA